TTAATTTTCCCACATTGACATGAGTGGGCCTTTACAAAAGGTTTTCTCATACAGAGTGGACTGCAATTTCGACCTCGTCTAAACCTTATCAGCACCCCCAGCGGTACTCAACTTCTGATAGTGCAACGTTAACCAATACATCAAACGGCCACGAGTGCCCTTGAGTAGTAGGGAAGATGTGGATTTTAAAGAAGTTCAGGTCTTTCTCATATCACATTTATGTGGTAGGATTGACGACTCATGACGTTGTAGTATATTGTTTGAGGTTTCGAGACTATGCGCTGTACTGCCCGGGTTCGAGTCCCAATGGAGATCCTGAGGAGACCTTGGCGTGGCCGAAACTGTAGTTCACTCCAGCCTGGATGAGACTGCCTTTTGTGAGACAAAGCTGTGTGAAATTCAATGGAAGTATGAGGCTTACCTATTTGATTGCTGGAAAATGCAACCACCAATCTTTCATCACCTTAAAACTACTCTAACCTAAGATGAATTTCATTTTATCTAAAGTGTGTGACGAAGAGTTTCATAGGTCAATTCCATTAAGATACAACTTCGGAGTCCGTTTTTTCAACTTCCTGGGACGTTTTCCAAGATGCAGTTCTTGAAACAACTTTTTCGCTTGACAAACATCATTAAAGCTGAATATCCTTTTTATACTAATTCTCAGCCAAATAATGAGATTGTCCTGTGAATCTCTTTATCAGACTTAAACAAGAGTTCAAGTTTGCTCCCAGAAATGTAGTACATGTTGGTGGAGACTTATTTGAGATTCCTGAAAGAATAATTTCCGTTAAGGAAATGACTGACCGTCGTCAAGTAACTCATACGGCACAACGAAATTAATGTCTTGTAGGTGAGAGTAAGTTTTACGTTACGGAGCTCATATTTCGTTGTAGCTAGCCATTTTCACGATCAGAATATACAAAATTCCTTACCGCTATATTAATTACTTTTTCAATTTATCTTCCTACGGTATGATCTAGTAGCAACCGGCTCCAGTTAAGTCGCTCTAATTTGGGCTATCCTAGATACAATGACATTTAACGTCCACATGGCTTCTCATAGATTATTTCGTTTTTCTGCCGACAGCTCCGCACACACTTGTACAGAACCCGACCACATTTTATAGCTAAATGTTATCTCTAAATCGGGGCTGTGGTGCTCGATTAATGGAGTGCACAGTGGAGCACGGTTTCTCAGACTTGTTGACAAGATAGCTTCAAATGTGAGGTTAAACTAAAAATTAAGTATGTGTTAAATTTCTCTTTATTCCATTCCACACTTTGTTAAATAGCCCAATTGCATTTTCCGTGAACTTTAAAAAAAATTAATTTTGCCTATTTACAGATTTACAGCCTGACCCTTCGCAAATGTAAACTAATGGAGTTAGCCTTTGAAACGGTGGCACATCTGAGTCTGCGTGAGTTGATTCTTTCTGAGAACCAACTTCGTCGCCTAGACCCTCGTTTCAGTGATCTATTCCACCCGGGCCGTCGCACACCCACAACTGGGCTTGGCGGTCGCGATGCCTCGCAATTGGCCTCCACCTCATGGATTCTCAGTGGCTGGGGTCTGCTCGACTTGACTCACAACCCATTGGACTGCGTCTGTGAGATGGCCTGGCTGGCTGAACTGATCGAAGCAGAGTATCAGGATCAGATCAGCCTACAGTCAGCCTTCGAGACTGGCCGACGTTCGACACGCAGTCTTGAGGACACCGGAGGGCCTGCAACCACCGTCTTGAGCGGTACTGGTAGCGATGCGTCAAGCGGCAATTCGCTAGGCGATACTGGTCATGTCCGCCGGATGTCCGAATTGAATTTAACTTGCGCCGGACCACCTGCACTACGAGGCAAGCGGCTGCCTAAAACACGAGGGTTGCTATGCCCTGCTCCCATGGTAACCGGTATCGAAGTCCAGTTATACCCGACTGAGATGAATTTGGCCCAACTTACGTGTGTTGCCAAGGCCCAGACACCGCCGAGGCTCATGTGGGCCTTTCAAGTTGAAAATCAGGTGAATCATCTCTCTGATTTCAGTAGTATCATCATGCAAATGTGATAATGTTGTAAGCTATGTGATTGATTATTGAATATGTCCATAGACTTCAGGGTGGATAGGCTATATTTTTAACATTTTGACAATTTGGATAAATTCTATTCTTTTTCCGATGCGGTCTCTCGCTTGCTGGTTAACCTTATGAGCTGCTGTAAAGCCTAAGATTATGATGGCGATCGAGTTCACTAGATTTTTGTAGGAGATGGGGGTAGAATAATAAAAAGAAATTTATTGTGCTTAATTTATATACTTTTCAGCCTAAAGCACGTTACCTCAGCTGTACATATGTTGAGTATTAAGCAATTCTATTTATGCATCAATCTGGGTCATATTTACCAGAAAAGGTGAGTTATTATCCAGGACAGTTATTACTGCTTTTCTGACCATTCGAAACGATCACTTGAATTGTGTGTCCTTACCTTTGCACGCGCTCTTAAAAACCTTAACATGATATGAAAATATTCAAACCAAAACCCTTGCACACTTCCTGAAAGCCTAAATTTTATTAGTATCAAGAAGAGTTAAAGATAGGTTGGTTATGCTCCTCGACACTGCGTAAGTTAAAAGTGGTTATATGCAGGCATTACAGCACATTTTTACCGGAACCAAAGGAGAGTGTGATCCAAGGTATGCATCCACGTCAATTCTCCAGTATACCAAATCGAGGCGACCATGCTTCTTCTTCTTGTGAAATAGACCTACGAATATCGTAATCACACACTTTTAAATCGAACGAAAGTAGTCTCTAAAATTCAGATGAGAATGTTCCATGGATTAAACAAAATATATTCACCCTATTTAGTTTAAGGTGGTGAAGGACTGATATTTGAATA